ATTATTCCTGGTATTGATGGTGGCAGCATTAGCCGCCCATCCACATAGGCATGGATCTTCCATTGTGTCTGCTCACTTGGCTGCAGGACTGCTGGATAGACTGAGAACAGCAAACCACTATGAGCAATGTGATTACATTTTAGCCTTGCAAACTGTTTCACTTATCGTCAGGAGATGATCAACAGAGGAACCCGTGGCTGCTGTCCACAACACAAGGCACGCGTAAAGGTCAACCGAGGCAAGTTTCCCTCACAACCTGCTTCATCGCTTGGACATCCTCATCCATTCATTTTAGCCAACCCATCGAGACTAGAAACTTCATCTACAATAACCCACCCATTCGCATCCCACGAATGCAGGCTGTGCATGGCAGAGGCCACGGCGTTGGCTCTTAGTGCAGACGATTACTTCTTGCCATCTGCTGTTCGTGAAGAGTTACCGCACGTGCAGAGTCGCATCTGGCAAGGTCTCGAACCCCGGGAAAAGTGGTGCGCCATGTGGGTGGACATGATCAAGAAATTTACCGAGCTTTATGGAGCAAGGAATCCTCTTATCGGCTCCTTGGGAGCTTCTGGGTGGGCAAATTACCTTGACGGGTGGTGTCTCGAGGACAGTCTTTCCATTTTATCGTCCAAGTCATCAGGAAAGACACAACTCAGCGCCGCTTTGTATGATTGTCCAGCGGAAGAGTTTCCTTACTACTGGAGATCAATCACCGGGGCAGCTCTCCCGTACGCTGTCGCCATTTTCAAGCAAACTCGCGGCACCGAACTGCCATATCGCCTATGGATGCCGTATGTTCAGGACGTGACCGCTTTGATCAATCTCTTCAACGACGTTCTTTCCTATACCAAGGAGCTGCTACGAGATGAGCAGGCAAACTATGCGACCTTGACAACTCGGACAAAACGAAGCGCGGGCTTCAGGTCTCGTTTTCGGAGTGGTGGAAGTCTGTAGACATTCAGAGATACGTTATGCGATTTAATTGAAAGAGCCCTAAGAAGCAGTGGTGCTGTAGATCAAACTTTTCGGGTTGCGTGTTGCTCTCCGCCCACACAAGAAGCCCTCGACATGCAGCTCGCGGCCATGGTTTGGTCGCATTTTAAGCATGGATACATCGCGTGGCATATCAATTGCGGTCGCTACCCCCTTGAGGATGTTAGAAGGCTCTAAAGAAGCATTCCAACCTTAAAGGCTTGAAGTATTGGCATAGCAACCTTCGATCTTATTGCACTGGATAACAACGGCTTATTTCACTAAACTTGTTGAGTTCTTTTAGGGCCTATCCGGATTACAACAACTTTAACACCATCTCTCCCTCAGGTCCAGGGCCTCGCCAACTGTAAATATTCTGGCTACAGCGCTAACATTCCCGGGTAAACCATCTCACTTCCTTATCTTGGTCCATTGACGAGTACCTGAAGCCCCATTCAAATTAATCACCCTCTGGATTCTCCAGTGTGTCTCTGGAATGTGTGTTGCACATTCGGCCGAAAAGAGGTGCCATGACACAGGTCCTCGGTGAATCGGAACTAGATAGCCCGTCAAGAATCTCATGATTCTAATAATTTAATTAACAAAAACGTTATAGGTAAAGAAAAGGCCAATTTTCTAATTGGAAAATATACATATTTTGATTAAACCTTTCGTATCTGTGATTTTGGAAATAAACTGATAAACTATGCACGTTTCTATGGTATCATATGACAGCTTACAGATTATAGTATGTACACTTGCAGGATAATTTTGTTGTCTGTCTGCAACAATAAAAAAAATTATATTCCCACGGGTATCTAGATATATTAATAATAAAATGATACTCACAATCATACTAGACTGATCAACTATAACAGTTGCTTACCGCCTGCTAATCAGAAATAATCTTTCTTCCCCTAGAACAAAGTCTGAGTTATTTATTCTTTTATTTTTCTGAGCTGCTTCTCACTCTCAATCAAGTGGCTTTTGGGTACTCCTTGTGCCCTGCAAGTAAGCCTTGATAGTAGGCTGGTAAAGACCGATCAGACAGGGTGTCATTCACAAAACAAGGGAATAGAAGGGAGATTGAAGGAACAACAGTTGCATCTATTCTCCTCTAGTGCTCTGTATCGTCCTTCTATATTATCTATGGAGTATTTCATTCAGTCTTATTCAATATGTACATACACAATGGTTGCAGGGGTATTTAATGTACTTGGATTCGAATAGCTATCTATGTTTGTTCAAAAGATGACATTGTAGCCAAAAGGGGAAAATTTTCGTCACATAATTAGCGAATGAATAGCAAATAAACCAGAAACACAACTCCCTCCTACTCAAAAAGGCTGTCACACACAGATGCTCACACAGGCGCATCATGAAAATAGCACCAGACATGGTGTACTGTTCTACTTCATGATCAGGGGTAGTAGCATGGGTTGGTGAAAGAAAGGGAAAAAGATTTCCATGTTCAATTATTGCACCATTTAACGGACTCTTTCAGGTTCCTCTTGATCCTCCTCATCCCCATTGACCTCTCAGCCATATCCACCCCAAAGGGATGAAGTTTAGGCCCATCTTGAGCATTTGCCTCATGACAGTACCAATGGATGCATGTATTTCCGTGGAGTGCGTCGTCACAAAGGTCACTATTTTCAACACAATTATTCTTATTATTAACGAGTTATTCTCTCGAACCGATGCCATAACGACGTTGTAGAGCTGACAAGTCACGATCACAAGGAGAACAGCTGCAAATAAAACCTTCATTGTCGAAAGTAACTGGAATTGAATAAAAGCTTTGTCCGTTAGAAATAAATGCTTAATACCTGGATCATGATGTTATGCTGGACAGCAAAAGGTTGTGTGCCTTTAGGATCAAACGTATGTACGTATGTACTAAATTAGAAACGTGGTAGTCGATGATACTCTGAAACCAATAAATAATAATATAGGGTGGGTAAGCCTGCAGCTGCAGCATGCAGCATGCAGATTATTTGTTGGGATGGGACACATTCTAATCCACCATCCATCTATTAATCATGTCACAGCTTATATCGTGCCTTTGGTGGAAGATAGTTTTTCATCTTTTTGATAACAAAAAATAAAAAATAAAGAAAGACCAAAAACATAAACAATTATATTCCCCAGATAGATATACAAGTACAGTACACAAAGATATCAACAAATTGACAATCACAATCATAGCCTCGTCAGCCGCAGCAGTCGTCCGCTGTCTAACCAAAGACAATCTTCTTCCCCTGGAACGACGCTAGTAGAGCTGTTTGTGCTTGCAGTCGCGTCGCCCGCAGGTCGATTTTCCGTTCCTCCCTGCTCTCGTCGCGTCCCGAGGGGTCATCCTCTTCCAGCTCGGGGTGTTTGCGTTTGGACATGTTTTCTACCTTTTTTTCCGAGGCTCTGACCTGATCTGATTAAACTGGAATGGTAGATATTAAGATTAAAGCTTTTTGGGAGGGCTTGACAACAGGCCGGCTGTCGCTCGAGGTTGACTCAAGTTGCTCTTGGCGGGGAAAAAAGGCCAGCTTAGATCAGCTTAGCTCCCGTGACGTGCTGCTAGCGCGGTTACAGGTTACCTTTTCGGGTATAGCTGACTATCGAGCATTGGATTCATCACAAAGGTCTCAACAGAATTATATGTGTGGCAGATATATTTTAGTTGTAAAGCTGGTCAATTAAATTAAGTTTAACTACTTTGCTCACTAAAATTTAGATTCTCTAATGACATGATTTTGTCGAGTAATGATTTATTATTTTTGGAAAATGGCCCTGACGGTAAACTTTGGTCCTTCCTTGCAGTAGACTCCGTCAATGCATGCATGCCGATGTCTGTGACCGGGTACAGCCGTGCCTAAAAGTGCCACGCGCAAACCTCCTACGAATGCCATGCCTCTACCTACCAGGGTCTTTTTCTCCTCCTCTAAACGCAACCCCGCCATCGATGAAACAAATCCGCCCACTATCCTTCTGAGAACGCCGCCCTGAGCTCGCGCCCGTCCTCGAGAAAGCTGAGGAGGGGTGAGGTGGAGGGGGAAGGGTTACCGTCATGGCGCGAATGAAGCCTGCCAAGATGCAGATGCTCATGAGTTTATTGCCACTGTAATCAGAATTACCCTCGTTCTGGCTGGGTAAAGACGAAAACTACTTGGAATTCCCTCCAGCATTCCAACAATGCCTTGCGTGCATGGGGACTTCCTCTGGGGATTTCTGGGGAGCTCCTTCCCGTGACAGTGACTAGATTGAAGGGAAGTCTGAGTTAGTAATCATTTTTCCTAGAAAGCGTTTCTCTCTCTGTTCTCTATCTCTTTTGTCTTTTCGCTTTTTTTTTTCTTTCATTTATATGTCGACTCTGACTCTCTTAGTATATCCTCGAAAGTGACTGAAGACTTGAGCTACTTGGAAGTGCCACGCCTCAGACCCAAGAAAAGGCCAGGTCATGCCATGGATCATATTACCAAGTCATCTGCATGTCAAAATGAACACCATCCTATTAAGGGCTACAAACCGCGAATCCGTCCGAATCTGGCTTGGTTGACAGACAAGAAATTCTCCATGTTTCAGCCAGACTCCAACCAATGACCAATTCAATTCAAACCCTTGGGCTCTTGCGGATTGCCGGACTTGGTATATTGACATTGGTCTGGAATGAAATGGGATATTGTCCAGCCAATCTGCATACATGTGTTTGATTGTATGGCCCATGCGCGATTTACCTTCCATTCCGGGAACTGTCACCGCTGCCTCTGTATACTTTTTGGGAGGCATTGTGCGAGCCCCAGGACCAGAGCTTTGACCTCGGAAACTGCGGAAACGGAGATGATGTGGGCATCCAAATTCAAGCTCGACACGTCTCCTTGGAGTGACAAGAGTCTGTACCAACTGGCCCATTCATTTTATACAGCCCATTGCTGTATAAGACAACAGGATCATTATGGTTTGTGTCCAGTCTTTCAAGATATCGTATATGACATCCCCTTATCATTAATTAAACCCATCGGCTTTCACAACTTCCGCTCTGAGTATGAGACAACTTTTGGACCTTCTCAGATTCTGAGTGATTCAGTCTCAGCATGAAGTCGTCAATTACTGTCCTTGGCATTCAATGACAGCAATTTGCGTATCCCCCGTAGCAAATTAATTAGGAGGGCTCTTGTATGCAAGGTCAAGGGTGATCCTTGTTCTCTAATTGGCGAGGAAGTTACTTCCGACTTTACTGAGGTCAAAGCGTGTTCTCCAGACCTTCTAGCTCAACATCAATCTTGCCCGAGGAATGAACGTGAAAAAACCTTCACTGCTATGCAACGGCCTCTACACAGCGCTATCGCAGGGCACGCCGTTCCAAGCTCAGTCGCCGTTGCGTGGTTCTTCATACTCAGTTGCTAGAACTTGCGATGGATCCCTCCTAATGCCTCCTGTTATTGGACTCGCGATTGCGGCATTTGCTCTTGGGATATTCAGCTGCTTGACATACCCTTGACAATCATCCAACTGCAATCATGGAACGTGCATGTTGGCATATAGCGGCTTGGCCAGAGTTTCTATCTAGCTAGAGAACCGATTGCAACTTTCGTCTACCGAAGCAATTTCCAGAGGCAGACTTGCCAGTTCGACGAGCATTTAAACCCCCAGGCATTCCTGTCAAGTCTCAACCATAATCTACCAAAGATCAGCTCTAGCACTCTCCCTAACCAATCATTATAATCTTCAATTCGACACTTCGACTTCTTGTTTCCGCAACCATGGCTCCGTCGATCTCACCGCAAGATGGATTCGAAGATCGGAGCGAGCTAGGGCTTGCCCGACTCCTCCATCGTCAGTTCAAGCTGTACAGCGGCGCAGTGGCAATTGAAGGTGGTGGCTATGCGCTCACCTATTCGGGGTTGAACACCAAGGCTCTCAACCTCGTTCGAGAAATACACCGTCACCAGATTCGATCCGAGGAACCAATCGGTATTCTCGCCCCTCGAAGTATCAACCACGTTCTTGCGCAGGTAGCCGTGGTGTATGCCGGCGGCACCTGTGTACCGCTGGATCCTGGCCATCCGGACCAGCATCTGGAGAATTTGCTGCGCAATGTCGACGCTTCGCTGGTCCTGACTGATCAGGATCATTGCCACCGGCTGCCCACCTTTCAGCATATCGTTGTGGACCACAAGTCCGATGCAGATGGGCCCGTGAATCCCATGGACGTGGCGTCGAACGGACCAATGTCTTGCTCGCACTTGATGCACACGTCTGGAACAACTGGGAAGCCAAAGGCGGTCCAAGTGTTGGCTGGAGGGTTGATAAACCTGGCTTTCAACTCATGGGCTCCAGTACGCAAAGGTCATCGATTCGCCCATGTCACCCATATCGGGTTCGACGTGTCGTTGTACGAGATATGGGTCGCACTGCTGCGTGGAGCCACCATGGTTGTTTATCCCCAGGACGTCGTGCTGGATCCAGTTGTCTTTGCACAACGCCTCCTGCAAGACAAGATTGATGTGGTGTTTCAGACGCCGGCGCTGTTGGCATTAACGGCACAGACATGTCCCCAGGCCTTCTCAACCGTGGAAGCCCTTCTGACCGGAGGCGAACCGATCAATGTGCCCACGATCCGGACGATCTTCGCGAACGGCCCGCCGAAACAACTGTTCAATGCCTACGGTCCGACGGAATGCTCTGTGTTTACCGCCACTCATCGGGTTTCGGCAGAAGATGTGGAAAAGGGCCATATCCCTCTCGGAAAGCCTCTCGAAAACTATGAAGTCTTCGTGGTGGATGAAGATCTGCAACCGGTCAAGCAAGGAGAAGTAGGAGAACTATTAGTTGGCGGTGTGGGCGTGGCAGCTGGATACTACGGCGACCCTGAGAAGACATCCAAGGCTTTCGTCCGCGCACCACATCTGCCACTCAAGTCCAACAAGGGACCGGGACACCTCTACCGGACTGGAGACCTGGTTCGAATCAACGAATCCGGTCTGTTGGACTATCTGGGTCGACGTGACCATCAGGTCAAGATCCGCGGCCAGAGAATTGAGCTCGAAGAGGTGGAGCACGTCCTCTGGGATACAAAACTCGTATCTGTCGCTGTGGCGATGAAAGTGCAGACCGATGAGTCTGACGCCGGGTCCTCGATCTTACTTGCCTATGTCGTTCCTCTCTCCACAGATGTTAATGCTGCTTCGATCACGCAAGCATATACCAAGCTGGCGCCACACATCATGGTGCCCCGCATCGAGTTGATGGACGAGCTTCCGATCAACAGCAGCGGCAAGTTTGACAGAAAGAAACTGGCTGCCCAGTACCTTGAGCGGATCACACGGGCGAAAAGCTTGAAAGGGTCTTTGGATGCCGCAATGGAAGACAACACCGAAAGCTACCTGCAGAAGATCTGGCTGGAGATCCTCGGTCTCCCCCTCGAAAAGCTGAAGCCGACTGACAACTTCTTTTCGATTGGGGGTACCTCCTTGCAGGCGGCGAGCCTTGTCGCCAGAATTCAGCGGTCGTTCGGGGTCGAATTGCGTGCGGCAGCCTTGTACCAACATCCGACGTTGGATGATTTGTCCAGGTTGATTGATACGCTCAAAAAAGGCGTTAAATGGCGGGAAGGTACCCAGGACAAGGACGTCTTGCTCAGAGACTCGGAACTGGGCAAAGACTTGAAGCCCATTGCCGGCCAGCTGCCTGACTGGCGGAGCCAATTGGAGGGGCGAGTGTTCATGACCGGGGCGACTGGCTTCGTCGGCGCATTCCTTCTCGTGGAGCTGCTCGCCCTGCCTGAGACGAAGACGGTGGTGTGCTTGGTGCGTGCAAAGGATGCGACCATGGCACGCATCCGGGTTAAAAGGACGCTGGAAAAATACAGACTCCGTCTAGGCCCCGAAGAAGAGAAGAAGCTTTATGTCCTGCCAGGCGATTTCTCCCAGCCAGACTTGGGACTCGGTCAGGAGCAATATGATTATTTTGCGCAGTGGGCCAGTGTGGTTTTCCACCTGGGGGCGCAAGTCAACTACGTGCAGCCGTATTCGACCCATCGATATGCCAACGTGTTGGGAACGCTCCACATCCTTCGTTTCGCGAACCACAAGCGACAAAAGGCGCTGCACTACTCATCCAGCATCGCAGCATACGGTCCGACCGGATTTGTGACCGGGGCGACCTATCTCCCGGAGGATGAGAAGCCAATGGCACATCTCGCTGCGCTCGCGTATGACACGGGGTATTCTCAGAGCCAGTATGTCGCCGAAGTCGTGGTATGGAATGCCGTTGAGAACGGCCTGCCGGTTGCCATCTACCGTCCCGGCTTTGTCGTGGGCCACAGCAAGACAGGAATCGGCAACCCGGATGACTTCGTGGGGAGACTGATCGCCAGCTGCATCAGGATGGGCTGCTATCCACTGCTCCCCAAACAGCGCAAGGAGTTTATCCCGTCGACTTTGTCGTCTCTGCGATGCTGCACATTGCCTCGACGAATGACAACCTGGGTCACGCGTACAACCTCGTTCAGCCGGAGGCCGGGGCAGCCATCGATCTCGAAACCACATTCGAGATTATCAACGAGCTCTCTCCCACCACGCCCTTGCGAGGCCTGCCGTATCCGGAGTGGGTGAAATGTTTATCGGATGCGGTCGAGGATCCTCTGCACCCGCTCGTGCCGATGCTGCAGGAGAAGGTCCTCGGCGACCGGACTCGATGGGAAGTCTACGAGAACATGGCTTTCTATGGCACAGAGAACTTGCGCCGTGCACTGGCGACTGCGCCGGAGCTTCTTCGGTGCGAGCCGATGGCAGAGCTGTTCAAGAAATATCTCCCGCACTGGAGAGAAGCAAGTCAATTCTAGTGATTCATTCACGGGTCTGTTGGCTTCGCTGCGTTTGTCAAAGGTCGGTTTGCTCTATTGTTTGTGTTTTGTCGCTTCTTTTCTTTTGGTCAACACGCACGAACACACATATACTCTCTATCAGAAAGAGCCTCTTTAGCGTTTCAGGCTCAAGCCATCAAGCAAGTCTGTAGTCACATTCCCATTGAGATCCATACTGCGAAGAAGGTGAAGAGGAAGACACTTATGGACCTGACGGGCTCTTTCTTTATGCCCAAATCCAGGTCGATTCTCTCGAGTTCTCCTTGCTTCTTCTGATCTCTGTGTACGTCGTAGGCAGGTGAGTCTCTCTCTGCGGTGTCTGTGGTTGTGGGCATACATCCTCAGCATAGACACCTCTATGCCATAAGTAGAGATATGGAATACTAGATAGTATTAGAGTAGAGTCATTCATTGAGCGATCGATTCATTCAGTCGTTCTATCAAGACAAGATTAATTAGTTCAAGGCATGATACCCTTCACAAAGAAAAATACCTACCTAGGTAGTTAGTCTTCTTTGCTTCAGTTACCTAACTAAGTATTTTTTTAGATAAATACCCCCCGTCTATCCAGGATTATTATTATTATAATAATAATAATCAAATTTAACGTCCATACCGAGCCTTTCGGCTATGACAGACCCCGATTCTTGGGCAGAAGCCCCTATTAGTCCCTTATCCCGTCTTTGACCATTCTGAACCTTTTCCTCGCCCCAGCCCGCCTAGTTGCGCAGGGCTTTTGGGCCTTATAAGCCCTCCTTG